ATCAACAAAATCTAGCAAAATTTAAAAAACAAAGGCAATAGTATTATAATGATTAGTAAAGGTCTGTGGATACATCTGCACTGACTGTCTCATATAGTTTTTTAAATCATGAGTCTGCTAAACAGTAGGAATGTCCACAAAGTGCACTGTCAATATTGTAAGCATTATTTTTTCTTTTTATACCATAGCAATGTTCAGTTCCGGTTAAAGAAACATTAGAAATAAGACTTTTAGGAATGAATGGCCATTTCAAACGATTGGTTGAGCAAAAATATTACAGACATCAGACTTGTTTGTCAATTTACATCATTCTATTCAGTTAAACAAACAAACAAACATGATAACCTAAAACTCCATTTGCTTTATGTAAAAATTTTTGAAGGGCTGGTTCTGAAAACTGCAGTGTACCCTGGGTATTTGTTAGGCATGACATAGTACTTAAACTGTGAGTGGTAGCTTAATCAGGTTAAATAAAGTACAACACATTTACTTGATAAAATAATTGAACTCAAAATGTGCTCCACCCAATGGCAGAAAATACCATTAAAAGGGTTAAAAGCAGTTTAATGTAGCTCACATGCATGTTGAAGGTCTGCTCGTGTTGTGGTTGGTGGTAGATGTAAGATGGGGGCCATCTAGTGGTACTAAATTCTTTCATTCTTAATAAAATCCTCTTATGGCAATGTGACCATTTATAAATCAAGAAAATTCTTATTTGTCTTATGAACACTGTATGTGCTTTTAACAGTATGACTCTGCACATGCATACACAGTAAAATAGGGATTTGTAAAGTCTCAGTACATTTTCCTGACATTAGACTTGAGCAGACAACATTAAAATCTGAACAACTTCCATTTCCAAAGAGTGAACACACTCAAAGCTGCTGCTGATATCCTGTGAGATTACACTCTGAAATTCCTGCCAATGTCTGCTGGCAGAAATGTAACTTCTTTTCAGTCAGTAAAATGTGACAAAAATTCCAAATCAGAAAGACAACTTCAGTGTTTGTTGTAATAAATGTTGAGGCAGTTGTCTTCAAAAATAAGGACTTGAATCCGGGATTTGAGGCAGGTTTGGCCGAGCTTTACAGGAGAGTCAAACCAAAACCAGGGGACCCAACAAAAATACGAATAACAAGTTGTTTACTTCATTAAATAAATCCCCTCAAGATCTTTTACTTGATATGTGTTTTTTATACAAAATACCAGTTAAACCCCTTTGATTCAAAACCACTGATTAGTGTTCAGATAGTACAAGCAACAGAATATTACACAGTTTAACATGTCACCATTTCTGGACTGTTAGTGCAACAAGAATGAACAGTTTGGACAAAAAATCACCTGAGTATCATTTTTGTTTGCTTATTTTCTTTAAATTTTCATTATCTATTACAAAACCACTACAAAGCTAAGACGCTAAAATCCAAAGCTTAGCTGAAAAGTGTCCAGCTTGGTCATTTGTAGCAAGCTATTCAGCGGTACATAGGATGCTAAGAGTCCATCGTGGAGGATTTGCAGTTAGGCAACAGCTTGTTAATCAAACTAGGGCCGTTGTTTGATTAGAACTTTGATTTGTCCCCCAGGGAGCAAATTAAAGTGAACATCAGCAGGTAGGTGAAAAATGTTCACCACAAATGAAAAGTTTTCCTTACAACTGTAAAGAATATAACAGGCATTATTTGATATTTTTTAAATGTCAAAAAAATTCCATGAAAAGACAAAAACCAAAAATGTATTAGCCCACTTCTCAAGATTTTCCTGTTTGAGGCTCTCATGCCAATGCCCATTACTCCCACTGAAGAACAGTATCTTTAAAAATATAGTTTCCCCCTATGTAAAAAGTAATTTTCTAAAACAGCTGGGCACTGTAGTTGTTTGCAGACATTACTCAAACAGGAGTAAATAAGTGTATTTGTCGGGGACTATTTACAGTGGGCGATTAATCTACATTTGGGGATCTAGTCATCAGCTGTCAGACTTAGATTCAGATGTTCCTAAATCCTGATTGATGCGAGAAAATACATTATATTACCTTTCCCTAACTGAGTCCTGCCCACTTTACACCGAAACACAATAATGGTGCAATAATGTGTGTGCAGTTTTTTAACCTTGTAGCTGCTCCAGGTGGTGCTAAACCCAACCAACAAGGTCAATCGAATCATTTAAACTAAACTAAATTAATCTTACAGTATATGTATGAGCTCATCAGATCTTATTCATGCCAAATCTTTATCTGCTAAGTAACTTTTAATGACAGCCACCTGACAAAGATTTCTCTTTGAAATATAGTAGAAGGCAAATGCAATGGTGTACTATTTGCTTGTGTGTTATTATTCTACAAGAATGTCAATACTGAGTGTTTCAGTACAGAAAAACATAATATCTACTTTAGACTAGTCAATAAATTCCATTAATTTTAATGGAGCATGCATCACTTTTGATAGTATTTGTTCCCTGTGGAATAATTCTTCACTCACTGGGTTTAGCCAAAAACATGCTCTTATGAAAGTTATAAAAAAAAATGAAGAGATTGTTGAACAATTTTATATGTGGGAATTTCTACTTATATATATATTTCATAAAAAACATCAGCCACACACAGCAGACAATTTGTTTATGTCTTAATACATGTCGGGAGGAGATCTTTAAGCCTTGTGACATGATCACGACATTGCAATAACAAGCTCCATCCAGTGGATGTCAGTCCTCCTACAATATGGTTTAAATATCAGTGGGCTTTGCCAATATGGGACAGCTTGGCACCTCTGTTGGAAGTGAAGTGTGTAATAAATCTACATGTATTAGGTCCAAGCTGACAATAGCCTTAACCTTTTATAACCCAGACAGTATGAGAGACCAGAATTAAACATCTGTTCAGTGCAGTACTGTCAGGCTCAGTTAAGTAAAGACATTTCTGTGGGGGAAGGTGACCACCAGCTCTGAACCATCACTTTGGTTCACATCCAAAAAAGGTTTCTGCAGAAGTACTCACGGCTCATCCAAACAGTGCAGGTCAGAGAAAATAGCTTATAGAAACAGAAATAGGTCGAGGTCTTCATCATTTTTTATCTAGGCTATGCCCGTTCCCGACGGGTGTTTGGGGATAGCCTGAGGTTAGACCTGAAAAGTGAATCAAAAATGGAATGGGTCGTTTAAATAGGGCAGATGTTTCTTTTGCGCTCGGCAAGTCAGGAGGATAGAAGCATTTTCTCAGGCAGTGTTCAGCAGTCACATCGGGGAATAGAGTGCAGGGAGAGAAATGCATGACGCTGCCTTCACAATACAAGCAGCTTGTTCATTGTTTGAACTGAACAGAAAGCTATTTTTTATTTGTCACCTACTCCAGCCCCGTATAGTCTCCCAATACACACTTAAATGCTTCTGTCTCAAGCAAATAAGGCAACATTTTTAATTAATTGTTACACATTTTTCACACCAATTTGTATCTTTAAAGAGAAAAGGGTTGTCCTCGTATCATTTATGTATTTTGTAAGCCTTCGCTTATATTACCTTTTTAAACCATGCTACCACCATGGCTCCATGGAAGGCAATGTCCATCTGTTTCCTGGCCTGTCGGTCCTCCACTTTGGTCCAGAAATACCTACAATTATAGACAGATTTCACAGCAGCCATTTTGACTACTACTACTTTGATACCAATTAAGACTCAGTTTTAATTTAGCATAGCAGAACCTTTCCAGTAGGCCAAGATGCACAACAGTAGCACCCTGACTCTGTTTGACCTGAATGGAAGACAACCTTAATTAGTATTATTGGTAACACCTGTGTTTACCTGACTATTTCATGTCAAAATGGCTGCTGCGATAAAGGTGTATTTGATGGATTGCCAGGGAAATGTATGCAGACATTCACGGTTCCCAAAGGATTAATCAAGGGGTGGATCTTGAGAAATATTCATGGGGTGGCCAGAGGGAGGCAGAAATATATGCTGATTTAATCGCAAACAATCACATATATTAATATTTGCTTTGACATTTTAACTCAAAAACATGCATTATTGTGGCACATTAGTAAAGCATTGAATAGAAATCTGTAAAGTTGGAATTAGAAATCAATAGATTGTTTTTTTTCCCGAATCTACAGTCATTTTTCCAAATACATTTAATTGAAATTATGTAAAGATATGTAGTCAAAACTGTGTGCATAACAGATAATTAAATTAGTTTCTGCTTTAACACATTATTGTTTAAACTAATCTAAATGAATGTGTTAAATTTGAAACCAAACTGGGGTGGCAGCTGCAGTGGCCAGCTATTTTTAAGGGTGGCAGCTGCCACCTGCCCCTGGATGAATCCTAATGACTTTGGTGATCCTGACTTTTCCTCTAATGGCACAATGACATTGCCATGGTTGCGTGACATGTCTAAACAAGTATTAGATTATTTTTCATGAAATTTGGTGTTGACACTCCTCAGGATGCATTGTAATTGCTTTAGTCGTCTCTAAACTTGTCAATTTGTCCAATACTTTGATTTATGACCAAAAATCTGCAAAACTAATGACATCAATCTCAGTTGAACTTTGTGTTTCATGCTAACTAGCAAACGTAAGCATGATAACACAGAAAACTAAGACAGTGGAACATTACACCTGCTTAGTTTCAGTATGCATTGTCATTGTGAGTAGCATGCTGGTGTTAGCATTTAGCTCAAGAGCTGTATTTGCATTTGTTGAACTGTATTACACAATATACTGTATAAAATGCATTCTGTGCATCAGTCAGCAGTTTCTAGTGTTACTATAGCCTTCTTGCATGTTTTACTTCGCTCGCATGGCTTCACAGCAGTATTTCTAAAGGGCTGAGATAATATCTACTCTATTTTATCATGTCTGGTGCTTAACAAAAACCTTTTCATCTTCTGTCACATTTTGTCTCCATCCTCAGTCTTATAGTGAGTGATGCATGAGAACAAATAACTGAGGCACTGTAGTGGGAAAACAGCCCAGCCGCCATCAAAAGAACAACACGTGAACAATCTCTTGTACATAAACACATTTTATTTAGCCTGATATAGGTTACACATGGAAAAAAAATCAAAGTCTAAGAGAACTACTTCCCTTTGTGGAGCTAATGATATGACAGTTTTAAATCAGCTTCAGATCCCCACTTGACAGCTTTCAACATTAGCTGCCGTGGGCTGTGAGGAATTAAGCATAATCACATGCTACGACTGACCTGAGGCTTTTTTTTCTCTCCTTTCGTCAAAAATAATACAAAAAGAAAACATATCCCCTCAGCAGTCAATATGTATGTTTTCTCACTAAATGATATGGAATGTTATCTTGAAAATGTAGGTAAAAAGAAAAAAGGTTCTCTGCAACAGCAGAAAACAAGATAAGAAGAAACTGAATAAAAAAAAGAAAACTAATTCCCAGAATTCTGTTCCCAGGCTGCTACTGTGTGTGAGGCATTCAGAAAACACCACCTCAGTCCAAAGTGTGTTCAACAACAACAAAAAATAAAAAAAAAAATAACTGAAACCTGCTGCTGTGATTCAGTCTCATAATCCTCAAACGTGGATATGAACAGAAAACACAACCTCGATGCTCAATAGTACAGAAGGTACGTTAAATTTACACTGCTTGCAGATCAGCTTTGGAGTCTAATATATTAGGACTGACATAGATAGTCATAGATACAAAGCAAAGACTGATGAGGGAAAAGAGGGGGAGGGTCTTAACATTTAACTAGTGTTAGTCGTTTTTTTTTTTTTTTACTTGTAAATTTCACAAAGTGCAAATTTTCATTTATATTACATCATAACCAATTTTTTAGAAATTGTTCATTTTCTATTATATAACAATGAAAAATGGAAAACCAAGCCATAACCACCCTCCCTCCCTCCCCCCCGTTCCCACCAGCTATCCGTCAGAATATTTAAAAAAGGAATCACTAAATACATGCTGCAATGACGCCCACCAATTTGTTTGAAACTTGACCAAAGCCTCTTTTTAGGCTCCTTGAATCTCTTACAGTACACTGTTACTGTCAGCGTGCGTTTATAGTTAAAATATATATATTAATCTATCATTAAATAGTATGCCTCTTGCACAGTCTTGCATGCATTGAAGAGCATTTTGGGCAAGCTGTACAAGAAGGAGAGGCGTGTGGACGGACTTGCTCAGGCTGTAGGCTCCGGGCCAGGTCCAGGCACTCTTTCGCCACCTGTAAACGGTTTTGCCCTTTACTCCTTGCAACCACGTCAGTCCAAAAGATGGTTCTCCAGTGTGTTTTTGTTAAGTGAGCATTGATTTGTGTGTGTACTTGAGTGTCTGTCTATGTGTGTGTGTGTGTGTGTGTGTGTGGTGTTTGGTGTGTGTGTGGTCCTAAACCCAGTTTCCCAATAAAACTGCGTAGATCACTGAAGTTTAGTTCCAAGCTTTCGTTGTCTGTTCCTAGAGGAAAATACAAAAAGAGAATTGAGTCATGTAACAAATGCACGTCTCTAACGTATCGCAGGCCTGGTCACACCAGCATTTAAAACACTGTAGCGTTCAGTGGATCTGCAAGCAGGGACGAGGTAAACCCACAAGAATACTTTGCTCAAGTCCAACTCCACTGAACTTTGTAGATTGTTCCCCATGTTGCACCATTCACTTTTATTTAAGCTTCTCTGTCGAAGAATAAACTTCTCTATAACAGTGGCAATGTTTGCAGACAGTTAGGAGATAGGAGTCAATGGTACAAATGCTTTTAAAATCAGCTGTGTGAACGTCTCAATAGCGATTTAGCTCACAGGCTTGATAACTGACATTAAGCTAGCTTGGAGAGCTTTCTTGCCTCTTCAACAGACCGAATCACTGTGATGTTGCGCTAACAACAGCAGTCACTTCCTGATAGAGAGCTGGGGGCTGATTTGAATGGGGGAAGATACAAAAAAAAATCTGCAAATTTGTTAATTTCTGTTGTGATTAGTTTATGAACTGCGTTCCATTGCTAGAATCCATCTTAACCATCTTGGTTACTGCCGGTCAGACAGCCGGCCGAACTATGATTCTCTCCCACTTGTGTTCTTGCTTGGTCTATTTTGTTTAACCCAGCTTCGAACGTCTGTGTCTGGCTTGCTGTCTGCGCTGAAAAATAGCAATACCAAGAAGTATGCTTTGGTGTGAGAGAAAAAGCTGCTGAGAAATAAAACGTTATTTTCTGATTATTTCACACCGGTTACGTTCTAGGCACGAATAAACAACCCCATACCGCCACACCAGCCTGCAGCTAATGGCCACAAAGACTGATTTGATCTGAAGACAAAACTATACTGCTGTATATATTTCTGTCCTGTGCAATGATTTATTTTTACACCGTGACACTTCCTCCTGTTGTGACCTGTGCAATGTTCAGTCACGTATGTATATAAAAAAAGCTGTATATAGTGTACATATAACTCTCAATCTATTTCTCTATTATATTTTTATTTAATGTGTATTTTCTTATCTATTGTGTTGTATCTGTAGCTCCTGTAGCAAGTTAATTTCCCCAGTGTGGACTTAATAAAGTCTATCTTATCTAATTCTTTAGATTTAGAATTAATTAGATGTATACACTTTGAAATAACATGAAAAAAGAAAACATTCAACATGTTTTTCTGGGGTTTCCAGGTTTTTCTAGCTAGAAGTTATTGTACACAAACATTGTGATTGGTTCTATAATCCTATTGAATGCAATTATGTGCAATGTTGAGAACAAAACACACAGTACAGAAAAAAGAAAGAAGCTCGGATATCTATAGTGACTGCTAGTTCTGGCGTGTTCCTGGCCTGCAAGCATGTTAGCCATTAGTTTGTGAGCTACAGCGACTAGTCCTGCAAGTACTCAGTATGTAACCAGGGTGTGTCGGTAAACTTCAGTGTGCCTCTTTCTGGTGTGACCAAGCCCTAATGGTGATAGATGTGGTGTAGTGAGGGATATACAACTTACCTTGCCTCTGATCTGGTCACTGTATACTCAAACCATAAGATGTTGGGGATCAGGCTTGTGTCTCGCACTAGGAAGTACTCTGATATTGGCCTATCATATGTGAAAAAGGAAATTGAAAGAACAAATTGTTAGAGTAGCCAAAATAGACCAGTTTTAGACACTTATTCAGGCTGAGGATGAATTGTCTTCCCCTGTGACACAAGAAGAGAGCAGAGAAATGAGAGCTCTACTTACCATGCTGCTATTTTGGGGAATAATGGTGTCAGCACCTCTTGTGTGAAAAAGAACCAGATTATGCCAATTGTACAACCAGCCACTCCGCCATAGAAAACCTGGCTCCAGGTGTGATACAACAGGTACACCCTGAAAATGAGAGGGAAAATAAATATATATGCTTGAGAAAACACAAATTGAATCCTAAACTAAACTACTAAGTCTTGCAGCATGCACGTCAAATACAGTGGTATCGCAACTAATGTACACCCACAGCCGAAATGGTGTTACACAGGAAGTAGCACAATTAGGCTTCCTTATTCAAAATGTTCTCAGGCACCTGCCCTTAGTGCACAGTTACTGGAAATGGCCAGACATGTTGTGATTAATGAGCTTCACATATTTTTAAAGGTGAAAAAGTTAATCAATTAATAAACTACACAAATGTTGATACCATTACCAAGATGTTGTCTACACTGTTTTTCTGTGGCAGTTATTGTTCTTTAATATTTAAAACAGATGTTCTTTTTTTCCGCTCATTTCTTTGTTTGGGGTTTTGGTTTTGAGCCGTTTGTCAGGCAGTAGATGAATGAAGATAATGCCTCATTTTAAATCCTTGGAAGTTATCGTTCTCCTCTTCTATATTCACTTTAGATTTTAGGATTTAGCTGGAACTTTTAAAGGAGGTGTGTGGGAGGGGTTGGGGGTTCAGTCCCTTACCTGCTGTATGAGACTGATAAGGCTATGCCCAACAGGATGATGGACAGTATGTGTCTCCACAGCAGGTCCACACACCGAGCATTGTTCGTTTGATGCATTCTGGGAAAAGAGAGAGAGAGATCAGCATGAGTTCACACCATGACATCTTCCTCGTGTAGAGGTGGAGTGACAGCATCTAATGAGTTATAATCAAAAAACATTTATGTAATTCACGTAATGACAGACATCGCCTAGAGTAAACCAAGTAAACAACAGATAAATAATGTGTTTTACATGAATATGATGTAATCGATCACTGATACAACGCATGTATGTATTACAAACTTATTCAACATTGGGGGAAGTTGTACAGAAAATGTTTACTGATACAAACATACCAGCAAACATAACCCTTTGCTAGTGATTGTACTATCACAATGGCATGTTTCCACCCTTAAACCTCCCCAAGCACCAAGAGGAAACAAGCTCACCTTAAATAAAGGAAAAGAAAGAAGTAAACAACAAAGAACCAGATAAGCTGGGAATGACTGGAGGGCATCCCATACTCTGTGTGCAGGGTTGTGTGAGCACCTGCAGAAAGACAACAGAACCGGATATAAATATATAAATAATACATTTACAATATGGAGTACAGCTTCATTTAAATATATGGATGAATACATGAATATATGTCAGGATAAAAACTAAAGTATACAACTAAAGTGAGCACATTTCATTTCTTAACTTTATATAAATAACAGACTTTCCGATAAGCGGTTTGAGAAGCTTCTACTAATGAGATTCAATCATTGTTTCACCTCTGAACATTAAGACCTTCCTTAAAACATCAGGGCAGAGATAACAAAACAAGAAGCTGGACACAATATCAGCTAAAATGTGGTGTTATGCAACATTGTATGTTTTGTAAAATTCTTTAAATAAACACTCCTTGCTGCTCTTATGAAGGAATATGCAGAAAAACAGTTTAAAAGTCAGGAAAAGACTGTTGCATGTGCTGCTTTATTTTTAATATATATATGTATATGTATAAATAAATAAAAAAATAAAAATAAATACATAAACATACTATATCACATCAGGTTTGAATAAAATAATACCATTACTTTTTTTATTCAAGATTCAAGAAGCTTTA